GTCCGAATCGCTTTATCGAAAATATTCAGGTCAGTTATTTTTCATGAGATTATTCAAAATCAGGTCTGTACGCTTACTATTGCAAAGAACATTCTTTTGCAACTAAGAAACAAGGCTCACGTTTTTCGAGCGTTAAACACGAATCACACGATCGGCACGATGCTTAAAATAGTATACCTCAGCAGTCTCCAAAACCCCCCCCCCCCTCCCCTTTTTAAATTCTTGCCAATCGCAGCTTGTGGTAATTTGAAATTCGGACACTTTTGACTTCGAGATACTGATTTAGTTGACTTGAAGATTTTAATATTCATCGAAACGTTGGTGGTTTGAAGCAACTGTTTATTAAACACGACTTGATATAACTTGGTGTTTATATATCTTTGATGGAGTCCCGTTATTTTGAAGTTTCAGGAGTCAATGAAAATAGTCCGATAGAAACTTTGTTCTAGAAACGCAGGTTGGAATACTGACATGCCTCATGTTGGTGATCTGATGTGTTCATAACATTAAACAAGTTTCTCTTGCAAAGCGCTGACATATTCTTGAATGAGAAGTGACGCCGACACACAAAGACGTTTGAATACAAGGAACGCGAAGTTAAAGAGGCTGAAAACGCTTCCCTCGTATTTTCAAATCTATCGCTAGATGGACTATTACAACCTCAACCTCTTTACTCATTAATATCAGAAAATTCCCCATCAGCACTAATCAATCTAAGAGTCTCTCCTCTGGCACCACTAGTTATCATGGAGACGACTCATTCTCTTAGAGCACCCTCGAATTTAACTCAAATACCAATACAGTGACCACCACTTTTTGTAGTCTTTCGAGCAACCCGAAATTAATTCACTCAAATCTCCTCTTAAGTCGGTGCATTTTGATTATTCCTAGAAGGAATAAAAACACTGAATTCACAAGTAAACTTTGAAAAATGATATGGATGCTCTACCCAGGCGGCCAAAGTTCCGATAAAGTGTATTCAGAAATACAGTTTAAGGGAATACACAGAAAAAGATAAATTACCATCATTTTGAAAGTTTTACCTCGAAATTATGCATATCCCAATGACTGCCAAAAAACCTTGCGACGCCGGACAACACGCTCGATTGTGGCTACCTTAATTGAATGATTCCCTCCGACTTCTCCAGCCTCACGTATGCTCTGTAACTGCACCCTACGAGGGACGATCAAATGTGGAGAAAAAATTTATTTTCAAAGAGATTGTTGATATTGTTGCCATGATATTCATAGCGGGATTATCAACCAATGTTTCAATTACAATGTTTCATAGCACAATTTCAACTATTTTCAGAATATTGTTGGGGTTTTTACCACTCGCTCGGACGAATTAACAAGAGGTGCCAAGACTCTGTACTTTTCTTCTTTTATTCTCTTCTAGAGAGCCACTACAGCATCGCTCTATGCATCTAATAATCATCGTCATGCTCTAGCGTGAGGAACCAACGCTTTAAGGAGGAAAATCGCAGACCTGTTTGAGTTAGCTGACCGTGAGAGTTTCCGCAGTGTATTGCAAAAGGGGAAATTGGGTAGCTCGCTCCGAAGTACTTGGCAAGCACCAAGGAACCAATTGGACGCCAATGATCGAGCTGCGCACGAGAGTCACGCGCACAAGCAGGATCTTCAGTGTGGGTAAAACTCAAGGTCAGTTTTACCAACCCAAACATGACCACCTATGAAACTAGCCATTTCCAACCATAACAACGATTAAAATGTCTAACACGGTAAGAAGGAAATCCGCGAACTGAGCCAAGTTCAAGCACATACTAAAAATAAAAGATCAAAACTATAGATCTACCAAAATAACACGTAGACGCAAAAAGGCGAGACTTCACAAAACAAAAGGTAAACCTAAAAATACTCAAAATAGCAATCCTTCAAAATACTCTACAACAATATGATTACAAACATTTGTCACGCAGTCGGTGAATGTGTTTATGGTATTGTGTCATGATCTCAATGGTTGAATAAACGTCAATATCTATACATCTGATGAAACTTCCCTTGAGGTAAGCCCGTAACAAGTGCTAAGGTAAGTTTGTCCCCAGACTTCTTATACAGAGCACCCGCCATAAAGATTTAGTTTCACGTTGAACTGCTCTAGAACGAGGGATCCATGAAAGTGCCAAGATACCTTTTTGAAGCTCTCCTCGCAGCTTCTTCAATTTGAGACAATAAATTAACTTGTCACCCTTCCAATATGACATTTTGGACAGATACTGGTCATCTTATTGTAATTGTAATGTAGCAGCAAACGCGAAAAAGTTCTCGCCCCTGACTCACGAAGTCTTGTTTGAATAATGCTTTAATATCATCACATC